CTTATAGCTTCCTGTGCTTCATAGTTTTTGGATTTGGTTGTTATGAGGTTAATTAAGGTTGGGTTTGTGCTTTGCCCCTTATTCCTGCTCTGATAAGAGCTGTTTGAGAGGTTTAGATAAAGAACTTTTAGAGTTCCGTGGATAGAGATGATTAATAAAGTTGTAGAAAACGTAATTGAGCCTGGGTCTTGAATTTGTCAACTATATTCCCAGCTACTCAGTTTGTATTTAATTGAACTTTTGCAAAAACCTTATATCTACATTGGGAGATAGTAGTCACAGTTTCTGTTCCCTTGGCGGAAACAAGTGTTCTACCTGGACCAGCATTAAATCACCTGGACACATCACTATTCTCACTAGGTTTATTCTCTCCCCTCTCCTTACACCCCCCCATATCTCTCTCTCTCTCTCGTCATCATTTTTTGAAACAGGGTCTCATTATATAGCCCAGGCTGGGCTTGCCTTCCAAGTGCTGGGATTATAGATGTGGTATTTTCCTCCTTTTCTTTTGGAAGTTTTGGAAAGGATTTATTTTAGTATAGCAGGATAAAGTCTGAAGGAGGGGAAGGGGAGAGAGAAAGAGAAATATTTCTGTTCCCACTTAGGAAATGGGAGCAAAGAGTCCTATTTTTCTCTTTTAAACTCTTCATACCACATGACAAATACCTCAATAATTTATCCTGTTGGCCAATCCCTGCTTTTTAAACCTGTGTTACATAAATTCTCCTCCAGGCCTTGGTTTTCCAGTCCACTCTCTCAAAAAAGAAAGGGGGACAGGGTCTTGGTAAGAAATGGAAAACTGATGTCATTTTGTTTGTGTTTTTTTTTTTTTTTTTTTTTAGCATTCTTGTTATTTCAATTCAGGGTCTTTTTGCAGTAGGTTATTTTTTCAGATAGGATCTTGTGGTTTTTGCCCAGGACCACCCTAGGATGCTGTCCTCCTAACAGTACAGCTTATTTTTGAGATGTGGTCTAACTAACTTTTTGCCCAGACTGACCTCTAATCATAATACTCCTGAGTACCTGGGAGTACAGGCATGAGCCACCACTCTTGGCTTTCTGGTTCTTTAAGACTCATCATAGTGGACCATAGACATCCTGATTTGCCCAGCTCCTCGAACTTGCACCTTTCTTTATTGTACCAACTTTGGCCCTTCCTTGTCTTTGTAAAGTAACCTCCGAGATCTTTGTGCTCTTCCTCTCCTGTTTGGCTTCTCTCTTGCGGTTCCTGCAGTTCACATGGTAACAGTTTAGTTAAGTGCCAGCTGTCCTTCAGCAACTCAGATTCACATTTCACTTACCGTGCTGTATAAAATACAGACTTTGCTGCCCACTCGTAAGTCCACAAATCACCACATAAGTAAGAGGTGCACATCATGGTTAAGACCAGTGATTGGCCTCCATGTGTCTGCTGTTCACCCTTAGACAGCAAGAGTGTGTGTTGTCTTCTTGTCTCCCAGTGTGATAAACCTGCTTTTTGTAAAAGCAGATAATTGAAAGGTGAATCACTCAAAGTGAAATTGGATGTGATTAGAAAAATCGAAAACGATGACAGCAAAGTAAAGGTTGGACAAGACCTAATAAAGCCTTGTCAGCTGTGGCACAAAGCATGTTGGTAAAGTCCTATGACTAAAAACCAAGGTAAAGTCACTTCAGTATCTTTTCATTAAAATTGCATTATGAGCAGAAAGCTGTTCATGGTTTAAATGGAGTGTCTACTTCTACTTTAGATTGAAGATGTTTTTTGTGTTAAGTCCCAGTTTGTCTAACATTCATGCTAACTTGTTGAAGTTAGTTGCCCATTTGGAAGAAGACAGTGATTACAAGGATATTGAAGGAGAACTTTACTGCCGATAAAGATGGTTTCATCATTTTGTCATTAGTTGGCTGATGTTACCTGGGGAAGCTGCTCAATTGCATAAGAGTGCTGCATGAAATTCATGCCCAGATTCCAAAGATTAGTTAAAGTAGATGTTATTAGGTATGATGTGATGATTGTTGCAGAAGGCAAGAGAAAGACATAGGATCCTAACGTCATAAAAGCATTAAAGGTAGCGTTAAACTTATTAAAAGGAAACATAGAGAGTGACTTTAAGTTAAATCCTATGTTTATCTGGCTGAGGAATTAGGTTTAAGAATTACAAGTTGTGGGTTCATGGGTACAAGCCACGGGGTATAAAGAAGGTCCTAACAGGCCTGGGTTTCACCTTAAATGTGCTTAAATGTTTGAGGGGGTATAAATGAACTATATCATTCTTAGCTTTAGAAAATGACATTTTGCTAGGAAGAGAGAGACTTAGAAACCATTTTGCCTTGTGAGATTTTAGTCTTAATATTCAGAATTCAGAAGTTAAATGAAGACAGTTGTTTCAGAATTGAATGAGAAGAAACACAAAAGTTTTAAGAAATGTGAGGGGCTTGGGGTGTAACTCAGTGATTCACACCCATGATGTAGCCATTGATAAACAATGATCAAGGTTCAGTTTTCCCAGAGTAATTACTACTAAAAGTTCTGGTAACTCAAAATTTTTTCTGTATGTCACACTTTTTTGGGGGGTGGGGGAAGGGGGCTTTAGTTACTTTTTGGATAGGGTCTCATGTTTTTGTTCAGGGCTGGCCTCAGGCTTCAGTCCTCCTAGTTATGCCTCTCATGTAACTGAGATCACAGACATGCACCACCATGCCAACCTTGTTGATTGAGGTGTGTGGGGGGTGGGGGGATCTCAAAAATGTTTTGCTGGGACAGGCCTGGAACCATGATCTTCCCAATCTCTGCCTCCTGAGTAGCTGGGTTTATGGGGTTACAGATATGTACTGCCAGCCTTTCCTCTACTCCCCACCTTTTAACACTGTATCATGAACATTTTCCTATTAAAAAGAGATGACTTTCTTCCCTTATGAATTGCCTAAGTGTGGACTTTACCTTTTTTCTGTTGGCTTTCATTTTTATTAAAATTTGTACTTGCTCTTGCTTAGCTCCCATGTTTGACTTTACAAACTCTTACATATGTATTTCATACCAGAAACAAAAAAGAAAAGTCTTATCACCTCTCCTTACTGTTAGTAGGAAAATTTACTGTTTTATGAGGTGAAGTCATGTGATTTAAAATACATTTCTTGAAACTAGAAGTCTGTAAGGTGCCTTTCTAGTCTCTAAGATTAGAGACTGGGAAAAAACAGTACTGTTGGTACTGAGAGTTGATGTTGGGCATTCTGAAAAGGTAGTTTGCCTTAAGTACTTTATTGGTGTCAGCAGGATTTATCGGACTTGGTGTTGCACTTGTCTGCATTTGTTTTAGTGCCAGGCAAGGATCCATTTAAATAAATACTTGAAGCTGGGTACAGTGGCTCATGCCTGAAATCCTCTCTACTTGTGTGACTGAGATCAGGAGGATTGTGGTTTCAGATCAGCCCAGGCAAAAAAGTTCATGACATCCCATCTCAACTAAGGTGTGGTAGCATGCTTCTGTCATCCCAGCTACTATGGGAAGCAAAAATGGGAGGTTTGTGGTCCAGGCTGGCCAGGGTAAAATAAGCAAGACCCTGTCTCAGAAATAACCACAGCTAAAAGGGCTGGCAGCATGGCTCATGGAGGAGAGCACCTTCCCTGGATTCAAAACCCCAGTACTGCCAAAAATAAAAATAAGCAAGAGGATAAATATTTCCAGGGTCCAGATTATTAATATTTTAAAAAGTTACTTTGAGGTCAGAGAACTTTCTCTCAGCTGTAGATGCATCAGCAAGTTGATGAGAATATGTACATGTGACCCTTTGGGGAAAGAATAAAGTCCAGTAAAAGTGAAGACCACTCCAGCAAGTAGTTCGTGAGGCCCTTATCTTGAGTACTCAGGAGAAAAAAGGGCTAGTGGAGTGGATCAAGTGATAGAGTGCCTGCCTAGCAAGTGTGAGGCTCTGAATTCAAACCCCAGTACCACCAAAAAAGAAAAAAGTGAAGTCCAGTCCTAGTGCATTGGTGCATCATGAATAACTTGTAGTTATGGAGTTACTCAGATCATATATTCCTACCTACTCTAGATTCCAGTGATCCTTGGTGAACTGGGTTAGGTGCAGGTCGAATTAAAGAATATGGTATTGCAGTGGAGGGGGTGAATTCAAGTATGATATATTTGATACATTATCAGAACCTTTGTAAATGCTACAGTGTACCCTCACCCTGCACAACAATAAAGGAAAAATATGATATTAACAGCTTTTGGAGTTGAATGTTTAGAGAAATCAAATAATGCCTTCTTACCACTTTGGCAAAGCTGAATTTTACCAGCCTGTGTGTGGGACATTTTTCTGTTTTATTGTTCACCTGGCATCATGGTAAGTCCCCAGCTCAAGATGTGCTATTAAAGGCCTCTGTCACTATATACTTTAGATCGCTGGGAACTGAATATTGTTCTTTCCCTACTAACACAGTGTCTACACATATCTTTTCAGCATAGGGAGATACACTATGTATTTGTATAGCTTTATCTTCCTGGTAAGACCGAAAGTACTTGGAAGAGAAATACCAAGTTTGCAGTTTTTAATCCCCACGTGAGTAGCACAAAGTCTTTCAGCCAATAGAAGTTTAAACATAAGTGGTTTCCCTTCAGAATCTTTGATTCATTTATAAACAGGCCAGTTTACTAGGAAAAGAAGAGTGGGTCTCCGTAACTTAGTCATGAATCTCATGGTTGACACCTGCTTTAAAGTGTGGCCCTGGTCAAGCCCAAACACACCCATGCTACATGGCAGTGATGTGAAACCTCATTAAATAATTTGTCATGTAGCTTAATATTTGGTCCTTCGTTCACTGGTTAAAGGGCCTCTTTAGGTGGAGTTGGGGTTATGCTTACTTTCTTTACAAGTCTCTGCATAGAGCTTGATGTTACCACAGCCCTCCACAAGATGGCAGACCAAAACCCTTGCAAGTTGCTAAGTTCAAACAGTTTTTAATACATCTTGTTTATAACCTTGACTGTAGTTAAAATCCTTTGCTTTTTCTTTAGGTGGGCAGTATCAAACCGAGAAATGCTTATAGCCCAAAACAGCTCCTTGGAATTTAAGCTACATCGACTATATTTTATTAGCTTGTTAATGGGTGGAACTACAAATCAGCGAGAAGCATTGCAATATGCTAAGAACTTTCAGCCATTTGCCCTAAATCATCAAAAGGGTGAGTCTGGACTGAATTGTTTGTTTTTCCCTTGAGTGAGGGTCTCCATACATAGCCCAGGCTAGCCATGAACTTGCAATCCCCCTGCCTTGGCCTCCTTTGTACTAGGGTTATAAACATGAGCCACCACACCTGAGTTGAGGCAGAGGTTTTTACTGTTTGGAACAGGCCTACAGCCACCAGTGGAGTTTTTAACAGTTCATCTTAACTACATTTAATATATGTATTTACTACTAAACTAAAACAATTAGGATTATAATTACTTCCCAGAAAAGCTCTCACTAGCACAACAGTGAATCATTAAAGCCTCGTAAATGAAAAGTCAGAAAGACACATCACAGAGTTGGGGATACCCTGTCAAACTGAGACCGAGAAAGAGCAAGGTACGCTGTTGCTCTTTTCCCTCTCCTCCCTGCCTTATTCTGTTGTTGGCACACTCATCATATGGGAGTGCTGGCCAGTTCTTCACCAAGTACAGTGATGGCTCCTTTTACCTCATGGTTGCTTCTCTAATAATAATAATTGTACCATGTGTAAGAATAGAAAATTTGAGGTTCAGTATTTTTAATGCTTCCTTTTTCTTCCCTTTTATCTTCATGCTATGTCTTTTTCCTTTAATTTCTTTATTGGCATAGATTAAATTGTACATAGTAGGGAGTTTCATCATGATCTCTGTTCTGTGTGAGGGAATTCTGAAACCCAAGCTTAAGGACCAGATTTTTTTACATTATTTTAGACTATAAATTGGGGTGGAGATAGCTTGCCTCTTAGCTATTATTTACAAGTAAACTCTTACTTCAAGTGTGATTATCCACACCTCCAAATTGCTAATGCTTTTTCCTTTAGACATTCAGGTATTGATGGGAAGCCTCGTATACCTGAGACAAGGGATCGAGAATTCACCATATGTTCACCTGCTTGACTCAAACCAGTGGGCTGACATCTGCGACATCTTTACACGGGATGCCTGTGCCCTCCTGGGACTCTCTGTGGAGTCTCCACTCAGTGTCAGGTATGGAAATGGGCCCTGTCTGTTACTGAAATGTACGTTGCATTGAGTTACAACTCTGAACATGTTGCCTTGATAATTAAAGCCAAGAGATTGTTCTAGAAGAGTACAGTTGATACTTAAAGAGATAATCACTAATGGCAGCGGTTTCCAAAGTGTGGTCTGTGAACCTCAGGGAGTCCAAGAGCCTTTTCCACATTGGTGCAGAAACAGAGTGAGTTAAATGTTAGAGCCTGTGCTAAGTTGAGATAGTGATGCCAGCCTCCACAGATGTGTATTCCTTACCTTGACACGTTTGCAGTGTAAGAAATGCTAGTTGTACTTCACAGTGTTCTTGATGAAACATTAAAGATTATTAATTTTATTAAATCTTGACATGTGAGTACACATCTTTTTAATATTCTGTGATAGAATGGGAAATTTGAACAGTGCACTTCAGTTTCAAGTCACAGCGGCGTGATGATCGCCTTGAGAAAAAGCACCTGTATGTTGTGGAAGTTATATGTTGTTTGAGTTATAAGCTAAACTCTTGTTGTGGAATATGGTTTTTACTTAAAAGAATTAACTAACAAACAAACCACGGTTATTCATACTCAGGTTCTTAGCAGTTGTTTTCTCGAATTAATGAAGTAAAGCCTATCATGTCAAGGAAAGCAACTGACAGTACCTGTTGCCACAGTGATAAAGTTCCAGATTTTAGGCTTATCATTAAAGCTTTTAGAAAGCATATATGCCCTTGGCGCATAAGCTTGTCAGTTTCCCAATACATAAAGGCTTTTCTGGTGAGATTGGTGATGGTATTAGCGAATTTGATTATTTTAGATATTGTATAATGGAGTGAAGCATTTGGGAGTTCTTAATTCAGTATGACCCTCCAAAATTGTGCATGGGTAAAAAAATCATTTAAAGTGTGAGACAGACCAATGCACTTTAACATAGTAGAGTACAAAAAATTCAATGGTAAAGCTTCACATTTCACCTTGCAGCTAACCTTTAGGAAACTACTGAGTTTTGGTGGTATTAGAAAAGACTACCCATGAGTATCTGAAAAGGCTATGAAATTACTATGAGGCGAGTTTTGTTTTTTATTTTTTGTCTGTCTACTTGAGCCAAAAGAACCATATTGGCAACAGATTTAACACAAAGGAAGCTACAAAAATTGAGCTATCATTGATAAATTAGGCATTAAAGAGATTTGTAAAGATGTAAAACAGTGCTATTCTTCTTACAAATTATTATTTTTGGAGAGTATAGTTTTTTATAAAAATGTAATTAATGATAATGTAGTGTGTTTATAATTTTCGAATGAATCAGTTCCTTTTAAATTGTCTTTTTTTTTTTTTCCCCTCTTGTACTAGGGCTTGAACTCAGAGCCTACACCTTGAGCCACTTCACCAGCCCTTTTTTTTTTTTTTTTTTGGTGACGGGTTTTTTCAAGATAGCATATTTGCCTAGGCTGGTTTCAAACCACATTCCTCCTGATCTGTGCCTCCTGAGTAGCTAGGATTACAGGCGTGAGCCACCAGTGCCCAGAAGTACCTTTGTGAATTTCCATTTTAATTTCTTATACTTTAAATGGTAGATATAACCCACAAAAATGAAAACTCTTTGAGAGCTCCTTAATATTTAAGCATATAAAAGGATCCTGAAAACAAAGTGTTGAAGACCTATTTTAAGAAAATAATTTTTAAAAAACTTCTGTTCATTTAATTCCACAAGGGTTTGTTTTTTGGGTATTTTTTTTGGGGGTGGGGTGGGGGTTGGATGGGGTTTTAACTCTTCTTTAACTCACTTCAGGCCATTTTGCTCTAGTTACTTTGGAGATAGGGTCTCATGAACTATTTGCCTGTGCTGACTTTGGACCAAAATCCTCCCAATCTCAGCCTTCCAAGTAGCTAGGATTACAGGTGTGAGCCACTGGCACCCAGCTCAGCGAGGGTTTTTTTTTTTTTTCTTCATATGTGCATACAATGTTTGGGTCATTTCTACCCCCCTTCCCCCTTACTCCCCCTTACCCCCCCTTTACTCCTCACTACCCGGCAGAAACTATTTTGCCCTTATCTCTAATTTTGTTGAAGAGAGAGTATAAGCAATAATAGGAAGGAACAAGGGTTTTTGCTAGTTGAGATAAGGATAGCTATACAGGGAGTTGACTCACATTGATTTCCTGTGCATGTGTGTTACCTTCTAAGTTAATTCTTCTTGAACTAACTTTTTCTCTAGTTCCTGGTCCCCTTCTGTTGGCCTCAGTTGCTTTTAAGGTATCTGCTTTAGTTTCTCTGCGTTGAGGGCAACAAATGCTATCTAGTTTTTTAGGTGTCTTACCTATCCTCACACCTCCCTTGTGTGCTCTCGCTTTTATCTTGTGCTCAAAGTCCAATCCCCTTGTGTTTGCCCTGGATCTAATGTCCGTCTGTTTGCCTTTTATAATATAAACAAACCACTTAATTTGAAGTTTCAGAAAAGAAGTATTTTGATCCAGTTAGTTTCATCAAATTACACAGAATCTGGTGTCTCCTTGAACCAGGCAGCCTAACACCTGGCTGGCACTGATGCTTCCTCTTCTGCTCTCCCAGTTTCTCAGCAGGTTGTGTGGCACTACCAGCTTTAATTAACATCAAAGCTGTGATTGAACAGAGGCAGTGCACTGGAGTGTGGAACCAGAAAGATGAATTACCTGTGAGTTCCATTTACTGTTTACCTTTCTTGCCATAGAAGAACTTGGGTGTTTCAAGAATTTAAAATGCCTGTCCTGCCTTTTGACTAGGAAATATGACAGTAGCCATTTGACAGAAGTGTTATTATGTATATAAAGACATGCGACTGAGTGTGTAGCTTAGTGGTACAGTTGCTTGACTAGGATGTGTGAGGCCTTGGGTTCAATCTCTAGCACACTTTAAAAAATATTAGAAATAAAAATAGGTATAAGGACTGTAGTACATTTTGGAGACCCTGGAGAAGTATTCTCAAAAGTGGCAGTGAAAGCTGATGAAGGAGAACCTCAGGAGTGGGGAGAGTGGTGTGTGCTGTAGCATGTGGCATGTTTTGTAGTGAGGTCATTTTGCTAAGCAGTAGTTTATTCATCTCTAAAAGGAGGCCCAGCATTCTCTTTATGAAGCTTCTGAATCCTAGATAGCAGGCACATTGTGGCTGCCATGGTACAATTATGATGTGGAATACAAAGGTTTCCTCTGGCAGTAGACAGCAAGACACTAGCATGGAATTACCATTCCTGTCAAGATTGTGTCACAGACCCTGGAGGGCTAGAGTGTGCTTCTTTTCTGCCCTACCTGCCCACAGGTTTATCTGTAATTACCTTGTTCTTCCAGCTGGTAAGCCTGTCAGTTGGTTACCCCAGCTTCTCCTTAAAGATCTTTTTGTGATTAAAGGCACAGGTGCTTTCCCAGTCCTTTGTGTGGTCAGGACACAAGCAGCATCCTGCTCCACTGCTGGTAATCTGAGCAAGTGAAAAGAATTTGAGCTTTTACTCACTTCCTGAGGCAGGTGTCCATTTCTGGCTGTTTCCCAGTTATGCAATAAGGATCTTTGATGCTTGTATACTAAAACAGAGCAGACTTAAACCTGAATTGACTGAAAGCTTGTGCATGGGGTGAGTAAAGCAATCAGAAGTAGTAATCTGGCCAACAGATTACAACAAAGTGTAACAGCTCTGTTACACTTCATTAACTTTTGAGCCATATTAGTGGACTCTTACACTGATAGCCATTGTATCTAGAATAAAGGAAAACTGACATTTATGGAAGCTCTGTCATGTACCAACTGCTCTGCTAGATGGTTTCATAGCTTATATATAACTTACTTCACTTGTGGTAAAGAGAAAAATAGTTGGTACAAGTGCCATGGGCTTTGATGTACAGATCACAAAACTTCCTTTTCTCTGGACCATTCCACGTAAAACATAGGACACTAAGATCTGAAGCTCACACAGAAGTAAAGCATGGTTAGAATGCTTTCAAAGGATTTACTGCACTGAATTTTAATCACCTAGCTATGAGTGCTACAAAACAGTCAGGGTATCTGGTGGTTTTGCTCCTAGATATATCCAGATGAATTTTCAATAGTGCTTAGGCTGGATAGTAGAGTGTTTGCATAATATGTAGCAGGCTATGGGTTCTATCCCAGCATCACCAAAAAGGGGAGGGAGGTTACTTCCAGAGCATTGCCTTGCCTTTGAGTCTCTCAGACCTCCGAATTTGGATTGAAAGGAGTATTACAAATAAATTTGAAGGCTGATTTCACTAAACTTTAAATCCTAAGACTCCTTTTCTTTGAGAGGCATGCTGTAGATAACTCCTTTGAGATGAGAAGATGTGATAGATAGCCTTGCTGCACAGTGCATATCGACATGGATGCTTTTATAAGCTGTAACTACTAGCCTTCTAACTTTTTTCCCTTTTTTGAACAGATTGAAGTGGACCTTGGTAAAAAGTGCTGGTATCACTCTATTTTTGCCTGTCCCATTCTTCGTCAGCAAACAACAGATAATAATCCACCCATGAAATTGGTTTGTGGACATATTATATCAAGAGATGCCCTGAATAAAATGTTTAATGGTAGCAAGTAAGTATCTGACTTTTTAAACATTAGTGAATAAAACTTTTGGAATCTGGCAGGAAGATGAGAAGTAGTGAAAATAAACGAATGTAGCTAGATTTAAAAATAGGCTTTTTTTTTTTTTTTTTTTTTTTTGGTGGTACCCTAGTACCAGGGCCCTTACGAGTTTACTAGGCAGGTGCTCTACAACTTGAGTCACACCCCAGCCCTTTTTTGCCTTTGTTATTTTTCAGGTAGGATCTGGTGTTTTTTGCCTAGGGTCAGCCTCAAATCAAGATCCTCCTACCTGTAGCCTTCCACATAGCTGGGCCCATACACCCTGGCTTATTGATTTAGATGGAGTCTTGCTAATTCACCAATCTCTGCCTCCCAAGCTCCTGGGACTACAGGTGTGAGCCATCCTGCCTAGACTGTTCAGTGTATTTAATTTGTTTGTGTATCTTGTGATTAGATTTATAAGTAAGATTAATAACTTGGTAGGTGACACATTTCCCCCCCACCTCCATTTTATAATAGTCTACTCTATCAACTATTCTTTACTTTGCTGTCTTCACTTGCGGATTTATCTTAGAGATCTTTTTATATGCTGCTGAAAGAGCCCTTATTCTTTTTTTGGTTAAGGCTAAAGAGTATTCTTAATTATGGAAATACATATATTTAGTCAGTTTCCTATTTAAGTTCTTACTATCAGTAGTGCTAAAATGATTTACCTTATCTATATGTAAACGTGAACTACTTTATATAATAAACAGTCTTAGAAGCTATTTCTAGCTTAGGCAGCTAGAAAATTTTTCACTGACATTAATTTCAGACCCATGATGGTAAGGTCCTTCTTTCATAGGAAATCCCTAGCTTGAAAAAGTTGTTGTACCTTCTAAGGTGGTGCAGATCAGTGGTGTCTAGAAGCCAGCTGGATGGATCATTGGTCTTAGTTCAGACCTGCTGGTTTCCTGTACCAGTTGTGGGCCATTCTTGGTGCAGGATTGGCAGCTGGCATCAAATTTACCATTGATTGGATTATATAGCGTACACATTTGAAATTCATTTAAAAGACAGGTGCAAAGTAAACCTTTGGAGAAGAGAAATTGGGTTTACTTCTGAAATTCAGCAATTGTCAGGAAAAAATTGTTTTGTTTACAAAATAATTTTCACTAATTTCCACTGTTAAAGAGGCTTTCCAGGTAAGATCTTACATGGGAGTTAATTTATTTGTGACTCTTCTAAGTCTGGCAGTTACATTAAGGGAAGGCATAGTTAATCCTCCAAGCAAAATATACATAATCCGTGTTTGCGAGTATGTAGGTGTGCGTATAATTGTTAGAGATACTCTACAACTAGATGGAAATTGAGTGCTCAGTACTGATCCTGTCCAACTTGGACTTTTCTGTCTTGTCTTTAGATTAAAATGTCCATATTGCCCAATGGAACAAAGTCCAGGAGATGCCAAACAGATATTTTTCTGAAGAAATGAATTTAGTTTGCAATTTGTAAGTGAAACGGAATTGTGGGTGCATTTCAGAAGAGAACGTTCGTTCGATTGATTGCAGCTAACCAAGGACTCCTGTGTTTATATAAGCTCATGCTCCAGAAACTCTGCCAACATGCTAGTGTACGCACTGAGGGGAGTGCTCCAGATGAGTATTATCATAGGGCTTTATTATATTCTTGGTCTTCATTTCTGATCAAGTAAATACACCAGCAGTTGTCATTCAATGCAGGTTTTTGTACTTAATTATATGGTGATTTTTTTACTTCTTAAGAGCAGAAACAGAAGTTGACCTCCCCACCATGTGTTTAATATTCTTCCTGCTTTTACTTTTGTCATTTTCTTGGTAATTGTAAGCCTGAGAGTATTTGTGAAAAAGCTTTCTTTCCTGTTATGTATACATAATTAAATGAAAACTCTTCAGAGAAAGTTTGACAAATTGAATTGTGGTTATAAAACTAATTTGGTTTTTTTTTTGTTTTGTTTTGTTTTCTTGCTTAAGGAAGAAAGCTGTGATAGATTCCAAATTTGCTTTTTGATGTTTTCCTCTGCTCCAGCTCTCACCTCAAAGTCAGCACATCTGCATATGAGCTCTGCTTATAGCCCCATTGGGCTGCCTGTTTAAAATTCTGTCATGCATTTAGCAGGCTGGTGTGAGAAATCTTCCACTATAATAGAGTGGAAGGAGTATTATTGGTTTTTTGATTTTCCTTATATTGCCAAGAGGTGCTTGTTTTAAAAAGCGTGTTCAATAAAATGAAATTCTGAAGTTAGAAGTGTTCTTAAGTTGATATATGCTCTCTTGGTCTTGGTAGCCTGTCCTTTGAAATCTGCCTACAGGACTTGGCAGTGTGTCACATTTGTATATCATTACAGACACAGTGTTGTGCATGTGTGTGTATATATAGATGTGCACCAACATCAAACATTGTGTATGTGGAAGGGGAGAAGCATGTTCCAGTCCTAAAATGCAGTTACCAGATCCATCACTTTAAATCCTAAAGTTAGATGCTAGTGACTTTTCTTTAGTATTGAATATGTTTATTGCTGTTTTTGTGTTTGACTAGTATGCTCTTCAATGCCTTTCTTCTGCAAAGTGTATCATCTCATTGACTGTGAATCTGTATATTATTCAGATGGCTACAGATAACGATCTTTTCTCTTGGGAGGTATCTTCATTTAATGCACTGTCCAGAAAGAGCCATGTGTAAGAGTCTTTCTCTGTATGAGGAACTACATGGAAAAGACTTGTGGATATAATTCTGACTTAAACCCATGAAGTTACTTCATCATGAGAAGATTGTTATGTGGAAATCACCAACTATTTTGTAACTTTCATCTGACACGGAACTGAACATCAATATAGGAATATTTTCATGAGAAAATGAAAAAGAAGAAAACATAGAAGTGAAGAGAAATGTGATTCTTCACTTTTTAAACTATAAATGGACTTAGTTTAAAGGAAGGGAGAGATTAGTTTAAGGGAGGGGGATCACAGATTTGGTGCTAAGTTGATTTGAAATTGGCAGCATTCACAGTAGTACACCAGCCTGGATGGCTTACCCTGAAATGTTTACCTGGGAGAGCTGTGAAGGAAGAGGAAACTGCAGAAAAGCCCTGTGTGGTTACCTTTTGGTCAGGTTCATGTTGATGGTGGCAGCATGCTGTGTAGTGTGGCCATGAATCACAGTTAGCTCAACTTAGAGTGCGTGCTTTGTCCAAATTCAATTTGATCCACAGTGATTTCTGCTTCATGGTTGGGACCCTCTACAAAGTCCCCCTCCACTAAAGCAGCACAGGAAGAGCCAAGACAAGCTGCTGGACTGCAGGAGAAAAGGCAGGACCTGGTCCAGGTTGTAAAGTGGTTTACTATTTCTTTTAAATTATAGAGCATCATTTTTTTCAAACCTTTTTCCTCCCTGGGCCAAATTCAGCTTTATTCAAAACTCATTGTCACCTTTCCACCTCAAACATTTATATGACGTTTAGGCTTCCTGAAAGATTAGAGTGATACAGACTAGACATGCTCTAAAGGCTGATGGTAAATACTTTTGGCAGCAAGACCTTTCACACAGTTGGCTCAGGCCACTTTTCAGGACAAAGACTTTGCTTTGTCCTTCTCCCAGTGTTGGGAGTCATATTGACAGCTTCTTGTGCAGCTCATGAAACTTTAACAAGCATTTGACTTTGTGTACGGTCCTTCTTATGTAAGGTCCTTGTAGTCCATGGGGCAGGACAAGGACCAAAAAAATCGAAACTCTCTTTGACAGTTTACTATGGAAGTTTCTTTTAAGTGCATGGAGACTAAATGTGCAGGAGGGGTAGGTTTGAAGAGGCCAAACCTTAACCAAAGATGCTGCAGTACACCATTATGTCCTCTCTACTCCAGAAACACCTTTGCAGTGGTGTTAGGACCACACCATTGCTGCTGCCATATGGCTGTTGGCATGCAGGAGGATACCATTTGTCTCTTTCTGCCTTCACCTCTAAAAGGCAATGATAGAGGCAAGGTTTTTTTTTTTTTTTTTTTTTTTTTTACAGTAAGACTAACATTAGTACATTGGAAACTCAGAATGGTTTCTTAAGTTTCTTTGGGAGCCATTTCTATTTACTAGTTGTGAACAAAGGCCATGGGACTATACTAAACCAATAAAACCTTGTTAGCAAGTCTTTAGATTCTTACTTAGCCAGAGCATCTGTATTTTCATGTACTCTTCACAGTGGCTAAGGTTCCTTTTTGATCTTTTTCTCCTTTGCATGATTATCACAGATGCCATTTCTGTTTGGTTGATTATATGAGACTTCTAATACATAATGACGGGTATTGGTGCCTCTTTAGTTTTAAAATATTTTGAAGAGCCACCTCATTCATAAGGTGTGTGTTTTGTGAGTGTTTGAACATTTAGTTGAAAATAAGAAAGTTATGAAGTAAATCTTTGTTTTAATTTTTCAGTAGCAGCTAATGTACACAAGGCACTAAAACCCACATCAAACCATGTGGGGATGAGGATCCTTTTTTTTTTTCTTTTTTCTACAGGTTGTCAGTCCCACAGGTTGTAGAGTTCAAGTTCAGTATTCTTTATGCTGTGAGTTATTTCCACCTCAGTGGTTTTAGCCTTTGGGATATTGGATATTGAAAAACCAAGAACTCTTGGTTTATCTGCACAAGACAAGCTGCTGGTAGACTACATTAGCCTTTGGTTTTTCTGCTCAACCTCTAATAAAGTGGACTGACAGCCACACTAGTCGGTCTGTTTAGTCAGCAGACTCAGGTTATCTTCAGGGAAGGTATGGAGGCATGGTTTGGTTCATTTCATCACTAGGATGTATAAGGTGAAGACACAAACCAAATACCTTTCATTATTTAATGCCACATACATTATGTTTGGTAACACTAGAATGCTGTGGTCTTGAGGAACACATAGAAGGAGCACACAGCAAGGAGCATTTAGAAGGCTTGGTGTTTCATAAGCCTGTTCAGCTGTGGCAGGTCTGTGTGGTACAGAAGTGTTACCATAAGCAGGTACAGGCTTCATGAACTCTTCATCTTGAACTATGATTTGACTAGATGCCAAAAATAGAATGACAAGTGTATTTTAATAGCAGATGAGGCCATTAGTTTTAGGGTGAACTTTCTGCTATTGATTTTATACTTCAAGATGTTGCAAGAGAAACAGTTTTGTTTTTAAGACATTTTCAAACTTCGGTTTTAAACTTCGGTTTAAATTGCAGTGGACATATGCTTCATTAACTTCCAAAGAGGTGAAAGCAGCTGGAATTGGCTTACAGCACATGTTTTGTTTCATGGTGTAGGTGAGGACCTACACTTGTTTTAGCAGTCACTTAACCTCCGCCAGCCAGGCAGATGAGGGGTTCACTAGGAATTAGTGCCTGATCTTTTCTTTTGGGAAAGGGTGGGAGTGAATGTATTAGGGAGGGGAGGGAAGCAGGAGAAGGAAATGGGAGCGTGAGTGAGTATGCATGTGTCAGAAATTCATCACCACCCCCTCTTGTCCAACAAGAGACAGGTGTCTGATATATTTTGCTCATGACTGCAGTGTGCATGTTTTTCCCCCCTCCATGTTTTCTAAATCCACACTGAAAGGATTCATGAAATCATCTTGTTCAGATGGCTCAGGATTGTATTTCTTTTGCTTACCCTGTGCTCTTGGGTCCTATAGTATTTCTATAATTATGTAATGAGAATAGTGTTGCACTGTAATCTATCATATACAGCTATATGTATGGAAAATTTTGATCAGTTTTTTTTAAGAGATGTATCCTGTTTGCAAAGGCACAATAAAGTTGCATCTATAGACTATCAATACAGCTAACAATAAACCTTATTTAACACAAACCATACTCATATTCTCTGCTCATTTGATTTTGGAAAAAAGTCTAGCATATTTCACTAGTTTCAGGGAATTCATTTTAACTTAAAAAATTCTGATATATTTAATTTATAAATTTCGGACTGATATAATAGAGTTTTTGGAAAACTATAAGAAATGCTTTGTTAATGTGTGTATTCCTATGTAAACACATGGCTTCTCCTGTGTATATTTTTTAAAATTAAAGAAATGCACATTTAAAAAGAGTTTTGTGGAACCAGTCTGTGTAAATGTGCCAGGTTACAGAGGTATGAGGGAGGGAGTATGGAGGTGTCGATTGTGAGAGGAGAAAACTGCTGCGTTTGCAAGGATCTGCATGCACAAGAGGAGTTTAACAAAATATTTGTCACCATCTCACCCTGTTTGTGTGCCACTAGCAGTGTGAGGAGGTGACTGGCCACTGCCCAGAGTTTCAAATTAAGGTATTATGTTTGTTTCCAGGCTACTGTCCCCTCAACGCTCATCTCGTGTTCTGCAGAGTGATAGTGATTGTGGGCCTGGCACCGGGAGCTTAGAATAGCTCACTCTCCAGGTTGCTGCAGGGGAGAAGCATCCACCTCAGCCCTGCCAGGAGGATCAAAGGCTGAATTATCTATCCTTAATGAGGTGGTAGAGACCAATAATTTGTGTTCCTTTTGTATAGTTTTTTAGACTACTGAAAATCCTCATCCCATACAATGTCCTCAGTAAGCCCCAGAATCAACTCAGATATCAGGAAGTCTTACCAGAGCAGAATCACAGCCCCTCATACTGAGTCTCTCTCCATTGGTGCTGTGAAAGAAAAACCTAAATTGACCCTACAGCTTCACTTCACTAGCTATAGTTTACTTAAAAAATCACTAATTTGGGATCATGGTTAGGCCATACATTATTAACTTTCCACTAGCTTTGCTGTAGGTAACACCTGTGTCCTATGGGTTATGGTGAACAGTTGCCCATATTACTTTACAAGGACCTGAACGCCCCTTCTGCCCAAAACACTGGCTCTTCACTTGGACCTGCAGCTGCCTGATGGGTAACTGGAATGAGATGAGAAGACTTGACATCTTTGTCTTCACATTGTGTCTGTCTCCTTTGCTTCCTTAACCTTTGGGTCAGATACTACTCAACTCTGCATGTTGCTCATTTGAGAAATGTCTTGTCCAAAACTACTATTATACAGAGTTAACTTGACCTAGACTTGCCCCCCACACACATAACTTTGAAGTTTAGCCTTGAAGATACCTACCAGCCACTAAGACCAGAAACACCGACCATGAAAGGAATGAAATGAAGTGGCACCTGAATTCCTGAAAGATCTCTGCCTGTTCTTAGGAAAGACATGAATATTCCCTTCCCTTTATTAGACTAGGTCCCCCATTCCTATCCTATAACTGTAACCCCTCAATCCTGGAGTAGAGAAGCTGGTTTGTGAGCAAAGCTCTTCTCTATTCTTTGGACATTTCTCCCCAACTCTGTCTCTCAGGCATTGGTTATTCTGTGGGGTGAGCTGGACCCAGGTCCACAACAATATTTGGGATTGTAGGATATTTCCTGCCTAAGGGAACCTGTGTGGGTGTCCCTCCTAGTCACATTTGGATCTAGTAGTCCAGGTGGTATAAAAGCTGGCTGAATCTCTCTATCCCTTTCTGCAGTGGAGACTCTTGAAGGGGTGCCCTCCCATGCCCTGGGGTGCTGAGATCCAGAGGTATATGTAATAATGTCTGTATCCACAGGAAAGGTTACTATTTATCCTTTTTTTTTTGTAGGGAACAGAAATGTTAAGACCCAGACACAGGTTGCTGCATTGAGAGTGTAATATGACCAGAGTTCATGTTTTTAGCATGTATTTAATGAACCATGTTTTAAGAACTGTTCTAGGCAAAGAAACCTGTATAAACTCATGTGGTCCTCCCTTTGAAGAAAGGACTACTATTAAAAGTGGGGAATTTTACAAGTGGGGAAACTGAATTACGGAGAAATGGAACCACTTGCCAGAGACTATGCTATTAACAAATAGAGCCAGGAAGCAGGTTTCACAGCTTCCACATTTAACCACTGCCATTGTCACCTTCAATTTCCTCTGGTGGAGAAACACTCCTGAAGCTTTGGGTGCGGGTTAAGTGCTTTCTCTCGTAGGCAGTGGTCACACTCTGCAGAGGATTTACACATGGGACTGGGGCAGGTGGAAGGAACAGCTAGTAGAAGAGGGAGACTTCTTCCCTGCCTGCTGGGCACAGATTCATGGGGGATTTCTAAGGATAGAGAGGGCTCTCTTCAATGCAATTTAATAACTAGAAAAAGAATTTTGCTGTTTTTTTCTTCTGCAAAAAAGATGTTTTTTATTACCTAATTGTTAAATGAACCACATTGAAGCTGAATTCCAGCTAGTTAATACCAAGATTTTGGCTTAATAGAGGAGTCAGTTCTTACTTCCTGTTTCTCAGGGGCCAAAAAAATGTGCTATGGCACCTGGCACATAGATTTGTAGAATCAGTTTTAGGCTAGCAATTGGCAAGTAAAATGTTGGGCCTGAGGCTAGCAGAGTAGAACTGTTTGGTGGTGTTTATTTATTTACTTACCTATTGATGGTACTGGGGTTTGAACCCAGAGCTTCACACTTGCTAGGCAGGTGCTCTACCACTTGAGCCACTTCACCAGCCCTTTTCTTATGTTGGTATTTTTTTTTGAGATAGCTACTCCACCAGCCCTATTCTTGTGTTGGGTATTTTTTGTGATAGGGTCTAGCTTTTTACTCAGGTTGGCCTCAAACCACAATCCTCCTGATCTCTGCCTCCGTAGTAGCTGGGACTACAGGTGTAAGCCCCCAGTGTGGGGCTTGGATGCTCCTTTTGCACATGTATAACAAACAGATTGGATGATACTTGTCATCTTTGAGCCCTGAGCCTAAATTCACAGCCTGCCTTTAGCATGCTTTAGGCCACTTGGCCTACAGATTGCCTACCTCTTTTCTCCCTAGTCCTGAGGGCCAGCTCTAAAGAATGCTTTTTCTTATATTGATTTTTGAATGTCTAAATGATTACTGTTTTACCTGTAAGCTGTGTTAATTACATTCTCATCACTTCGACAAAACACCTGAGAGAACAAGTTAAGGGAGGGAAGATTTAACTCACGGTTTCAGAAGGTTCAGTCTGTGGTCACTTGGCTCTTTGTTTCTGGACCTGTGACGAGGCAGATCATGCCAGCAAGAGAATGAGGAAGAGGAGGCTGTTCACCTCCTGGTGGGCAGGAAGCAGTGTAGTCACCAAAGGGGTCAGGGCAAGATAGAGTCCCAAGGACACTCCCCAGTAGCCCACTTCCTCCAAGCAAGCAGAAGTTTCACCACCTTTAAAACTATTAAGAATTTAAATCCATCAGTGGATTAAACTTCATTAGCTCATGATCTGTTTGTCTCTGGAAGTGCCCTCACAGATATTCCCAGAGGTGTGCTTTACTAAGTGTTATCTAAGGTGTGCTTATCTAAGTGTTTCTTAATCCAATCAAGTGATCAAGATTAAGCATCACATAAGTGAAATAACTTTATTGAGGGTATTAAAAAAAAAGAACCCAGCCAACCCTCAGTATTTGACCCTTTCCAGAAGCTTCCAAGTGTAGCCCCTTTGCTACTCAGCACTTGAGCTGATGGCTGAAGAGGGAAAACTCATAATGGGAATGCTCTTTTCTAGTTCTCCTTGGCCCAATCCTTGGTGCTCCACGGCCATCTTCACAGGTTTCTACCACAAGAAGCAGAGTGACCCATTGTGGGACAATGCTCCTTGTCCTCCCCAACAAATCCATAGGCACCCAGAGCCCTTCCCTGGCTCTGAGTCTACAGAAATTTTTTAGCATGGTGTTGGCTCTGAGCTGAGCCTCAGTCCCTGTGGTGCCACCTGGTTCTGATCAGCTGATGAGTTCAGCGGGGAGGGAGCAAGAGCCAGACTTTGATTCAGGGGATTTCCCAACTTTGTCTTCTTTCCCACATATTAGATACTTCTCTAAAAGTATCTTGGTTTTAAAAGTCAAGGTTTTTAAACTGGGGGCAGTGGTCATGTAGTCTCAGATACTGGGGAGGCTGAAGCAGGAGGATCGCTTGAGCAAGACCAGCCTAGGGCAGCATTGTGAGATACCTCCCTCCATTTCTAAGGGAAGGAAAGGGAAGAGAGGAGAGAGAAAGGAGGGGAGAGGGAAGGGAAGGGGAAAGAGAAGAGAAGAAAGAAAAGGAAGGAAGGAAGGAAAAAGGAAAGGAAAGGAAAAAGCCCGGGTGTGGTAAAGTTCAGTGGTAAATCTTAGCTTGGTGGGGGGAGCAGGGATGAAGTTCTATTTTGACCTGGTGCTGGGTATACCATCAAGCTGTACACTTGAACTTGTACACTTTTTTTGGTATGTATATTGTACCTCAGCAACAAAATGAAGATTTTTGTGATCAGTTATGGGAGTAGTATCACTTCCTCTGCTACCAAGAGAGAATAAAAAGGAGGATGATGGAAGAAGAGGCTAATTCATTTTGATTGATGATTGATTGATAATGGGAGGCCAAGGGTAAAGGTGGGGGCTGGCCTGATTCCTTTGAGGTATTTACCCTAAAGAAAGATGCACAAAATTTTAGTAGTGTTATAGTAGTGGAAAGTTAGAAGCGATTGAAACACTAGCTAGTAGTTAATAAATAAATGTGGCACCACCAAAAATGTAATGCTATTTAGCCATTAAAATAACACTATAAATGTTTTTTACTAAAGCCACTTACAAAAGCGTAGTATAATTCCATTTTAAAAACAGGGTATCTATTTTACATATACGCATAGAAAATCAGGAACCATAATATCAGTACACCATACTGATCAGTACACCAAAATATTAACAGTGGACTAAGAATTATGGATGATTCTTACATCTCTTACACTTTTTTTTTTTTTGGTGGTACTGGAGTTTGAACTCAGGGCTTCAGGCTTGCTAGGCAGGCGTGCTGTCATTTGAGCCACTCTATCAGCCCTCTTACATCTCTTTAAGTTCATTGCTGGTACAACACTGAGACAGGAAATTCACACTCGGGGCAGCAGATTTGGCTCTCGGCCTCCTCCCTGGAGTCTGTTCTGCCTCATCTTCACATGGTTGACCAAGGGGATGCCAGGGAAGGTGCTGACAGCTCTCCAGTAATTCTGCCTTTACCAAGTATAGAATGTCATGGGCGGTCCCAGGAGCGTGTTCCAGTCTGCTATCTTATATTTAGAGATTTGAGCAGATCTCAGTCCAACTTTACCTCGGTATATCTAACTTTACTGATACACAAATCATACTTGTAAAGTTCCACCTTCTGCTGTGCAAGGGCTAGGAGAACGATTTGCTTTAGAGATGAAGGAATTCATTTTCCAGGGTTTAGTTCACCCCTTCACCTTACTGTCTAGGCAATTTCACACTTCAGTATAAAAAGATCTGATGTTCAACTACATTGTAGAACCTGTCAAAAAAGTAGAAGTTCTCTTGTCTTTATTGCATGACCTTCTCAAGCTCAGAGCTGGTACTGAGTAAATCATATGTACAGAAAAAATACTTGTTCCCTTGTGGTTTGACACACAAAGCATTCGCCCTGAGGCACTGGCCTCTGGAAGAGAGAAACTTGAAGGCATAGAAAAAAGAACCCTGAGCTGGCAGAGGAGGGATCCTCCAACTCTGACTCCAACCCTGACTTGCTGTGTCACTGTGATCAAGCTGCTGCCACCTCTGAGTTTCAGCTTCCTCTACGATGGATGGGGAGGAGGTCTAGACACCACCTCCAGTTCTACCAGCATGATTCTGAGAAGTGGCTCTTCAGGTAGCTCTGGAGAGCTGCTCTCCACCCTTTACCCAATGAGTGTGTACAACGGAGCTTCAACCCTTGTGGTGTACCATAGATACATGGTTTGGTTCTGTGTCAAAGTAAATACATAAAGAAAAAGTAACTTCTCACCCTTCCCCCACTAAAGTGATAAGAATTAATACATAGAAGACTGGAAAAACCAACAAGAAGTTGCTGTCTTGCAAGGAGAGGTCTCAGTTTGGAGTCATGTAGTGACTGTTGCACAGGCCAGGTGCCATGTCAGACGCATTTCCCTGAAGGGCTAGGCTTGCCTCCTTGTCTGACGAGGGGCCTGAAAAAGAGGCAGGCGACCGTCATTGTAGGAAGAGCCCCTTCAATGCATCCATAACTAGTCCCCAACCCCTCAGACTGTGAAGGCTCTTGAGAACCTGTTCCTGGGGCACCAGCATGGGACAGGGTGAATGACTACAGCAATCCTGACAAGTGCCTCACTTGCACTACCTTCTTTAGTCCTTACAGCAACCAAAGAGGGTCAGCACTGGGCAGAGAGAAGTCCAAGAACTTGCTAAAGGTCACACTACTAGCAGCTGGCAGAGGCAGGATCTGAGCCCAGTTAGTCTGGCACATGGAGGCTTTGCCTAGGAGACCGGAGGTGAGATAATTTAAGTCATCAGTTGACCTAATTCTCAGGCCTGGAGGATCAAGGACAAGGGAGGGTGTAAGCAAAGGCTACCATCAACCCAGCTGAGCTGCTTGAGCTAAAAGTTCCTTTGACAACCCAGCCTTGATGTTACACTAAAAATGTGTGTTAATTTAGTGTTGGGCCAGTGACTCCCACTCCCCAGAAGCTAAGTTGTCATGAATATCATGTGGTCACATCCTGTCCTCCAAAACCTCCCTGCTGTCCTTCATCACTGAGTTATAAACTCAGGTGTGCGAATTCCTCAAGTGTTTAATCTGCACATCTCTGGGTTTCAGGGCAGGTTTTGTTGTCATTCATTTCAAAATAAGAGCTTTCCAAAAAAGTAGGGATAAGAGATTCACTTGCAAAAGCACAAGCGCACTCCAACTAATAGTATATCATCTCTGATGTTTGGGTTGGAAATTCGTCACATTTCCATTGTTTAAATTCTGATGTGCAGAGAAATACCAAGGAGTGTAAAATGCAAACCCCAAGTATAAAAGTTCAAATACTTTTCATCTCCTGAAAGAAATTGCTGTGCATAGTGGGTTATCCTTGAATTCTTTTTTTTTTTTTTTTTTTGCAGTACTGCTTTAACACTAACCCTCAGCCAGACCCCCAAACCAAGGAATTTCAGATGCAATTTGCAACTCTGTTGCTTCCAGTGTGGCTTTAGACAGAACACTTAATGTCCTCAGTCTAAGTTTTTTCCATCTGTAAAATGGAGGTCATGGTAACTGCCATAAAGGTTGTGAAACTTGAAATTTCAAAAAATATTTAGTCATCTCTCATATTCGAGGGGGACTGGTTCCAGGACCCCTCTGTCCCAGATACCCAGATTTTCGGGGAGTCTTATGTAAAATGGCATTGTATTTGCATATAATCTGTGCACATCCTCCCTACCCTTTAGATCTCTAGATGGCTTATGATACCTAGTACATTGTAAATGCTGTGTAAACAGTTGTTAAACTGCATTGTCTAGAGACTAATAACATGTTCAGTCCACACACATTCTTTAAAAAATATTTCCCATCCATGGTTGGTTGGGTCTGCAGATGCAAAACCCATGGCTATGGAGGGCCGACTATAGAAAGCAAGTAACCGGTAGGTTTTCATCAAATTGTATACTTTTTGATGATTTGACTGTAATTCTGCCTCTACCCCCTCAGGTGAGGTTTGCTAATCTCCAAAATATGATGCTGTGAGGATTAAGAGAAATGGAAGGGTAATCCCTACCACAGTGTCAGGCTAGAGCAACTCTGATTAGATGTTTTCCTGGGGCTGCCCCCACCTAAGGGAAAAGCAGGTGGGGACTGAGGCCTCTCTTACACTCTTGGGCTGCCAGGGAGTTAACTGATGTCCTCCACTCCTTGGCAGCAAATCCAGACCCTGCACAGACACAGGGAAATTAGGATCCAAGGCCATTGCTTATTTGGTTTAGGTAATGTTTCAAAAAACTAGACCAGCCAAGAAAGAGGTGGGGGGTGTAAAAAAAAGAAAAAGATACCCAGACCAGAAGGAATCATCTAGAAAGAGGACTCAGGTACTTGACCATGAATTGGAGGAAGGCCTTGGATAGGTTTTTGGTACTAAGCCAAAATGGATTTACTGAAGTCACACTGCTCTCCCAAGCACACAACCTGGGCTTCCCTTTCTCTCAGGAATGTAGCCATATTACCAGCCTTCTGCATCTCTTTGTTCCGGACTAGCTGGCTACCTGCCCCCAGAACTCTACTGTCACCAACTTTCTTTGGGAACAGTTTCTACCATCTGCTGCTGGACAGTCAGGTCCAGGGCTGTCCAGGGTGAGCAGGCTCAGGGTTATAAAAGACTCACCTGGGACATTTGCAAACCCGTCTTCTGTTTCCTGGATAAAGGAGAAAAGAAGGGAAAAAGTGAGTGTACCCACAACATTTATCTGATTTTCCTCTCCCTCCCTTTCTCTCTCTCTCTCTCTCTCTCTCTCTCTCTCTCTCTCTCTCTCTCTCTCTCTCTCTCTCTCTCTCTGTTGACAGGGTTTATCTGATCCTCCTGCCTCAGTCTCCTGAGTGCTGAGGTTTCAAGTTTATGCCACCAGCTCAAGAGCTGAGGTAAGAGCTGCTTTTTCATCCCTCTCCTCAAGCATTAATTTACAAACCATCGCAAAGGCAGGTGTGGTGAACAGGTGTCCACATCTGTTCTGCAGAACTGAGCTGACACAGTCATCTGCATGAGACCCCAAGAGGAATGGAGGGATCGAGGGATTTGAGGAGGGGGTCAAGGGCAAACCTCAAACTAGTGATTTTGACCCAGTCCTCCTTGGTCCAGGTACCCGGGCCACAGCTCCCCCCTGCCCTGCCTGAGGTTTGCAATCAATTCGGACTCTGCGAGCTGTGTATTTTTTTTCAAAACTTCCCCGAGGGTCGAAAGGGGCGAGAAGGCTTTTCTGCATGTCTCCAGGAAAGAAAGAACTGTGCCTGGTCCCAAGATGCAGCCTGGGAGTCCCAGAAATTTGAATATCATCTCCCCACAAGGGCTGTCTGGAGCTTGAGCAATGCTCAAGAATGGAGTTGAGTTCTCACCGCGGTGAATCCCAGAACTTACTGTGATGACAGATGACAGCGATGATCAGTGACAGGAGAAGGATCCCGCAGGCTCCGGCCAAGGGCGCCCAGATGTAGATATCGCAGACGAAGTCCAGTGCCCTCGTGTCCACTGACAACACGGAAAACAACACTTAGGAGCTGGTGGGAATTGCACATCCCGCCCTCCACACCCCCACAACAGCCGCCATCCCAGCACTCCTCCCTTCCTGGACTTGGGGTCATCACCGTTCACACCGCCCTCCAGGATCAGTCTCGCCCCTGGCAGGGGGCCTCCCGGTGCTACCTCTGCCTGCCCCAGGACCCGCGCCCGCCTCACCTGTGCCTCCCGCCCCGGGCCGGCAAGCCTCTGGGTGCACGGACATCGGGTGCAACTTGGTGGGGGACACCGGCGTGCGTGGTCGCGGCGCTGGCTTCGTGGTGGGCTTCGCTGTAGGAGCAACAGGGTGGTTGGGGACCAGGCTAGGGTTATAGATGCACCTGTGCTCCCAGCCCTCGCTCGGTGCACAACCCAAGGGGAGTCTCCGCCGGTTTTCTCAGGGCAGGGGAGAAGGGACCCCCGGGTACGCGCTGACCCCTCGCGGCAGGGCCATCACCTACTGCGTGCGCGGCTCAGTCAAGCGTGCACTGCGCGGGGGACCGCCACGCCGGAGCCTCGGCCCTCCACCCCGCACCTTCACCGCTCAAGCAGCAGCCTGAGTGCAGGGGTTAAAATCCGATTCTACTGACAAGCAGAGGTGCAGGGAATTTAAGTAACTTGCCCCAGGACCACACAAGCACCCGAACTCGAGCCCAGATGGCCGGGCATAAAAAGTCACCTCCATTTCCTTATCGGTGGCACCTTAGCCTCAGTTCCCTCTCTGTGAAATGGGAACGGTATCTAAGTAGCCCCCAGGGGCGCTTAAGAGGCTTGAAAGCGGGGCATCTGTGTTCAAATGGGAGCCCCAAACTCCACTCGAAGAGGCGGCGCGCCCCGTGCCCGGACCTGGCAGAAAGACGGGCACGAAGGGACTGAAGTACATCATCGAATTGCTCAAGACCGTGCAGAAATAGTAGCCTTGGTCTTTCTCGCGGAGGCTCCTCAAGGTGAGGGTGTACGAACTCTGGCTCTTGCTGCCAGAGAACTGCTGAGGGTCCAGGCCATCGGCCACCTTGGTTCGAGTGGAAGAGATGTACATGATGAAGGTGGGTCTGGCGGCGTCGCCGGGCGGCACATAGAGCCAGGAGCAGCCTTGTACCACCGGGATCAACAGCACTTCGCAGCGCAGCTCCACCTTCTCGCCGAGCCGCCCGACCACCTCCGGCGGCGACATTCTGAACTGTTTCAGCGGCTGGGCTGTCGCGACATCTGAGGAGGGCAAGTAGCGAGGTTGAGCCGGAGCCCCTCGCCCGCCGCCTGCCCCACGCCCTGCCTCCCCCCGGGTCGCAAACTCACGGAGCAGCAGGGCCAGCGGCAGAAGCCAGGTGGTCACCCGCGAGGCCATGGCGCGCTCCCCGCGGCGCGGCTCAGGTTGAAACTCGGACGTGAAGAGAGGCGCCCTGGAATCCGTGGGGCGTGGAGGGGGAAGCTGTGCCCTTCGGCCGGCCACAGAGCCCGATTTCGCATTTGGAGGATGTGATGTCACTCGAAGCCCCCGCTGAGGAGAGTCGCCCTCCTTTTCGCGGTTGTCACCTTCTAGCCCGGTGAGGGGGGCTGGGAGCCGTGAATGGGGCAGGCGAGGTAGCCTTGCAAAGCAGCTGCGGGCAGTTGGAAACTGTGGGTTTGGGGATGAAAAAGGGAACTTGAAAATGACCCATGGAAATAGCTCTCTTGTGAAAGTGACAGAGACAAGATAGAGCTAACAGCTTGCAAGAAATGAGAGAGAGAGAAAGCAGGAAAGGAGAGAAGTGTCCATTTCTTTTGCCCTCACTCAGTGTGTCTCTTGTATGTTCCCTTGGGGTTTTTGTCTGCCAAATGGGGATCCAAGGCTGGGTAGGATGAAAAGTGGATGAGCCGCTCACCTCTGGAAACTCGTGCAGGGCAATCCAGGCATTCTTCCCTTCCACCCAGGGGACTTCCATGGGGCAGTGGCAGTGGAGCCTTGAGTGGCACTGTACTCCTCTACAAGCTTCTATGCTCCCTCAGGGGCAAAGCTAACCACCCAACTCCATCCGTTCATGGTGCCATGGCAACAACCTCCACATCAGTTTCTCTCCCAGCCTCCTCTGGCCACCTACTCTGAAAAGCATTCTCATTATGGGGACCTGATGGTGTCACTCCTGAAACGTCCCCTGACCTGCTTTGCTGGATGGAAACTCAACCTCCTGTCTTGGTCACCAATCCTTGGGTGGGTTCTGGCTGCTCCCAGCCGCTGCTTCAGCCCCTACCCCTGCCTTTCCTACCAACTCACCGGCAGCTGCATCCTCACAGGCTCCACATTTCCCAAACTCTGCTTGTCCTTGGGTTCAGGCCCTCGCCTTTGCTGCTCTCTGATAGGCATGATGTTCTGTGTAAGCTCTGGGGACAGCTCCCATGCTGCCTAACTTGGACCTCATTTCTCTCCTGTCCTTCTCTGGGTGCTCACGGGGATGTGTGTGTGGCTTGGGTGAGTGTTTGGGTGGAGGCAGATTTCCCTCTTCTGTCCCCTTCCTTCTTGCTGTTCTGAAACCTTCTGGTCTTAATGGCGTGCTTTCCTCCCGTTTCTTCACACTGCTACTGTTCCACTCCCGAGACAAGCCACCTGGCATACTCCGCTCCATGTGTCTGCCCCACCCTTGAGTTCTGTTGGGGAAGGGCCATGTGCCTGTCCTCCGTCCCCCTGGTGGCACATTCCAACATGAGCTGTACCTGTGTTTGCTGAACTGCACTCCTCTGGTGGGGTCTACACTTAAGCAAACAAGTACTGGATGAGCTGTTTTGTTGTTGTTTTTGTGATACTGGGGATTAAACTCTGCCTCACACTTGCTTGGCAAGTGCTCTACCACTTGAATTCCACCTTCAGACCCTTTGCTTTTTAGTTTGTTTTTCAGACAGGGTCTCACACTCCTGTGGGGGTGGGAGTTGGTTGTTAATCGTACTTCCACATCCTGAGTGGTGGAATACACTCAGTGGAATACAGTTGTGCACTGCCATGGAGGGCTTGGGTGGGCTTTAAAAACAAAACAAAAATTGAAATCAAAACTTTGATTTCAATGTCCCCCTTCTCAAAGCATTTAAAGAGCTTACTCTAATATAGAATATTTTCTGTTTAGAGATTGTTTTAAAGTGTGTTTTAAGTTACAGGAGTGATATGTTCTTGCAAAGTATCAGACGAAACAAACATAAATACAGAGAAATCCTCTCTCTCAACTCTCCTCATTGTCATCAACTCCCCAGAGAAAACCATTGTTACCGTTAAGCGTATTGCTTAGATATTATCTGTGCAAAAACAGATGTGTGTACATTATTTTAGATACTGGAGCTGTATTGTGTATGTGTACCTTACCTTTCTTAACAGTAGAGGAAGGAAAACTTTTCATGTCCACTGATACAGATCTACCCCATTCTTTTAAGTGGGTGCATTCTATAGAGGTGTTCCATAATTTAGTTCTCCTGTTAATGGACATTTATACAGTTTCTCTTTTTATGAAATTGCTATACTAGCAAGCCTATGTAGATATAGGCACCTGCATCACTGTATAATTGAGTACTTCCACCAGTACATGTAGCATTTTCAAATGGAAGATGACAGTTTCCCATTCTGCTTGGTCACTACTCTCATGGCAGGAAGAGTGTCATATGACCCTGCTGGTCAAAGGATTCAACCCAAAGGATGCTAAAAAGGATAGATAGACATGAAGGCTTACCCTCCCCAGTTGGAGGGAGACTAGAGTCAGATCTCTGGGTCTTAGGAACCAGGTCCCCAAGTGTGATGATGACTGGATTTTGGGGGGAACTGCTTGAAAATACAGTTGCTCCATTTGAGCCTTCCAGAAGTGAGCTGTAGCTGGCTTGGGGGCCTTCCAACCTTGCAGCTAAGAAAATTGTCAGCCATGGGGGTGGTGGCCCCTTTGTACAGAGCATCATGGGGGATAGGGGATGCCAAAGCAACATGTCAAACCCACCAAGGAGGCTTTGTGACCCCAAATGATATTTTTTTGCAGAACGTGGTGGATTTTTTATATAACCACAACGACATCCGCCCTGCAGCAGGCAGGAGAGCAGATGTGAATGCACATGTTTGGAGATGCTTGTTTTCTGTAAACCAGGTGTGCAAAGGGCTGAGTTGGGCCCTGCCCATGAGGGCCAGGTAAACTCCAGCCCCTTACCTGTGGTACTCACATGGGATGGCTCGAAGAAAGGGATGGTACAAAGAAATGGGAATGACAGCGTTCTGTCCATTGTTTCTTAAAATATGCAGAGAGAGACGGTAGAGAGTAACCCTGACAAGGGTCTTTGTGATTCTCAAGAGATTTGCACAGGTTAAAAACATATTCAAAATGCATAACTAGGCAGGACAGCAGTGGGAAATTCATCATGGCCTTGTGCCACAGCTCCTAAGGCACAGACAACAGCCACAATTTGGAATTATGGCAGTTGCTTGCTGTCTTCTGTTGCCAGTTTAGGCCTATGGAGACATTATAGGTCTCCTTGTTTGGGGCTTAGAAGGGTTATTGAAATTCTGAAGTTATCAGCGCCTTGCTTTATCTCAACCACAAATACCTGTGAAGGGCTGGGAATACAGCTCAATTGTAGAACACTTGTCTAGCATGTATAAGATCCTGGGTTCAATCCCTAGTAACACACACACACACACACACACACACACACACACACACACACTAAATAAACTTTAAAAATATACAAAAAACTCCCCAACTTCCCATCAATGACTGTTATTTTCGTTTTAAGTTTTGAAAACATTTAAACATTTTTTTATGTGTAGCAGGTAATATAAAACACTCATATGCCAATTCCCTAGAATGCTTGTATTTTGTCATATTTCCTTCAGAGGAAGTGACAGATACACTTGTACTATCCTTGCCTCCTTTCCAGAAGCAAAATTTGGGTTTCTGTCTATCAAATTCAAGAAAAGAATGTTAACTTTCCAACTATGACTGTGGCTTTGTCTACTTCTCATGCTTGCTAGGCAGAGGCAGGCGCTCTACTACTTGAGCCACTCTACCAGCCCTATTTTGAAGCTTTGTTATTAGGCACGTATACATTTATGATTTTTCTGTGTCCTGGATGAATTGACCCTTTTATCATTGTGAAATGTCCCTCTTGAAAAAGGAACCCTCTTACACTGCTGGTGGGAATGTAAACTAGTATAACCACTCTGGAAAAAAATTTGGAGGCTACTTAAAAAGCTAAACATTGATCTACCATATGATCCAGCAATACCACTCTTGGGGATATACCCAAAAGAATGTGACTCAGGTTACTCCAGAGGCACCTGCACACCCATGTTTATTGCGGCACTATTCACAATAGCCAAGTTATAGAAGCAGCCAAGATGCCCACTACTGACTAATGGATTAAGAAAATGTGGTATTTATATACAATAGAATTTTATGCAGCCATGAAGAAGAACGAAATGTTATCATTCGCTGGTAAATGGATGGAATTGGAGAACATCATCCTGAGTGAGGCTGACCTGGCCCAAAAGACCAAAAATCCTATGTTCTCCCTCATATGTGGACATTAGATCAAGGGCAAACACAACAAGGTGATTGGACTTTGATCTTAAGATAAAAGCGAGAGCACACAAGGGAGGTATGAGGATAGGTAAGACACCCAAAAAACTAGATAGCATTTGTTGCCCTCAATACAGAGAAATTAAAGCAGATACTTAAAAGCAACTGAGGCCAATAGAAGAAGGGGACCAGGAACTAGAGAAAAGTTTAGATCAAGAAGAATTAACCTAGAAGGTAACACACATGCACAGGAAATTAATGTGAGTCAACTCCCTGTATAGCTATCCTTATCTCAACTAGCAAAAACCCTTGTTCCTTCCTATTATTGCTTATACTCTCTCTTCAACAAAATTAGAGATAAGGGCAAAATAGTTTCTGCAGGGTAACGAGGGGGTTAGGGGGAGAGGGAGGTGGAGGAGGGAGTAAGGGAGGGAGTGGGGGAAGGGGGAAGAAATGACCCAAACATTGTATGTACATATGAATAAAATAAAAATTAAAAAAAAAAAAAAGAAATGTCCCTCTTGATCTCTGGTAATACCTTGTTTTGAAGCCTACCTTAATAGTCATATGACCACTCCATCTTTCAACTTTGCCCTTCTGTTTTTTCGTGTTTTGTTTTTGTTTGTTTTCTCTGTGCTAGGGCTCAAACCCAGGGCCCTAGCTCTGCCACTGAGCTGCGCTCCCAGCCCCACCCTCTCTGTTTTAATACATCTACATGTATATTTTAGGTTTATAATATTATTTTGTGAGTTACTTGAATATACAAAAATTTTATCATATTGTAAATCTTTGACTTTGAGCTCTGTTGATACAGACTTATTTTAAATGTTGTGTCATAGCATCATCTTGTAAATATACTGTTAGGGTACCTTCGAGGCTTGCAGCCCACTCAGCCTGAAACTGGCCATGGCTAACATGACCCAAGCCACCACTTACTGGAACTAAGGGAGGTGGGACAGTTTCTGGGAACACGGACTGTTTCTGGTTAATCTTGCTAGAACGGCATGTGAGTCAATGAGTTAAGACACCTGGTGTTTACCAAATTCCTGATAAATAATCTTCAAGTAATCTTGCCCCACCACCAGGATGTGGGTGATATCAGAAATATGTGACCCCAGGGACCATAAAAATTGCTGTGTGACCGTGACTAATGTCTAAAAAAATATAAAAGCAGCCTGAACTTTATATTCGGGGTCCTTGTTGAAACCCGCTGCGTCGGGCGGATACCCGGACCCCAGCTGGCTGGAAATAAACCTCGCTTTGTGGCTTACATTATCGTGAGTGTCTTTTGTTCCTCTGAGGGGTGGTCAACTTCGGGCCCCAACAATACCACAGTACTGTGGTTCTCAAACTGGGTATTCAAAGCAACATGCAGACTGCCCTGAAGGACATGCACAGTTTTAAGCAAATTGTTTTGTTTATCCCAACTCTCATCAGCCCTTTTTCTCAAGATGGCTCTGC